AATTAAGAAGTCAAAGTTAGTGGCATAAAACTTCCCAACATTATTTATTTAATATCAGTAAGATTAGTAGTGATAGCCTGTCTTTTATTTATAATAATCAAATAATGATTATAATAATTTGTTTTCCTTCATTTTTTACTTGAACAGTTTGCCAAGGGTTTATCAATTTTATTAATCTTTTTTAAATTCAAACTTTTCCCTTACTTAGTTTTTTATATTGTTAGTCTCTTTTCTGTCCCATTCTTATCCTTAGTGTTCTCTTTTTTGTTTCTCTTTCCCAGTCCCCTGGTTGTTGTTGTTTGTTTTCTTCCACTTACTTTAGATTTAATTTGTTCTTTTTCTGGATTTTTAAAGTAGAAACTCATATCAATAAAAGTTAACTTTTAATTTCCAATACATGCATTTAAAACTATATATTTGCCAGACACAGTGGCACACACCTCTAATCCCAGCAGCTCCGGAGGCTGAGGAAGGAGTTAAAGCTGGGTGTGGTGGTGCATGCCTGTAATCCCAAAGGCTCAGGAGGCTGAGGCTGGAGGATTGCAAGTTCAAAGCCAGTCTTAGCAATTTAGCAAGGCCCTGAGCAACTCATTGAGACCCTGTCTCTAAATAAAATACAAAAAATGAATGGGGATGTGGCTCAGTGGTTGAGTGCCCCTGAGTTCAATACCCAGTAACAAAAAAAAAAACCTATGTATTTTCCTCTACATGCTTCTTTACCTATATCCCATAAATTTTACTGTATTGTATTTTTATAAATAATTTTAAAATAGTTGTTAATTTCTATGTGTGTCTAAATTGCTCTATATTTGTTTAAAAGGATATTGCTAAGCTTCCAAGCATTTTGGAGATTTTTAAGTGATTTTTCCATGATTGATTTCTAGTTTAATTCCATAGTGCTTAATGAACATGCTCTTTATGATTTTCATCCTTTGAAATTTTTGAGACTTACTTAACATATGGCTCAGCATATGGTCTATTTGGATAAGTGTTCCACATGCACTTAAGAAGACAACAGTTCTAAAAAGAAGAAGGAGAAGAACATAGTTTTTCTGTGTAATGATCTATATATGTTAATTGGATCAATTTTATTAATTGTTCAGTTCAAGTCATCTTACTGACTTTTTCTGCTCTTTTAATTACTGAGAGAAAGTTCATAAATTTGTTCTTTTATAATGTTATTATCAGGTACATCCAAATTTAGGGTTTTTTTGTGTCTTCCTGTTAAATTGACCATTTAATTAATCATTATGACATATCCTTATTTATCTCTAGTAATTCTTCTTTCCATAAAGTTTCTCAAGATACACCAATTTTCTTTTAATATTTTGTGTTATGTCTTTTTCCATATATTTACCTATATAACTGACACATCCATTCTGACAATTTTTGCCTTTTAATTGGAATATTTAGTTTATTTATATTTAATATTATTATAAGTAGAGTTGGTTTTAAGTGTACCATTGTACTATTTGTTTTGCATTTAACCCAGAAGTCCTCTTTTCTCTGATTTTTTCTCTCCTGCCTTTATTATAGTAACCAATTTTTTAAAAAGTTTATCCTCTAAACAAAAAAGCTAAAAGCTTTTCTGATATTATTTTCTGGTGGTTACCCTCTGATTTCAAGGTATGCATTCTTATCTTACCACAGTCTACTTTAAGTTAGTTCCTTTACCACTTACCAAACAATGAAAGAACTTTTTACAGATCTATCCTCCTTACCTTTCCTCCCCTCCTCATGCCATCATTGTCACTTGCTTTACATCTACATTTTAAAATCCCACCTAACACTTTTTTTTTCCTATGGGGATGTGGCTAAAGTCATGAAGTGGTAAAGTGTCTGCCTGACATAAACGAGGCCCTGGGTTCAATCTCCAGCATCACACACACACACACACACACACACACACACACACAGTTTCTGTCAGATTTGAAATAACTTGAAATGCAAATAATTAAGACAAATTCAGTGTTGGAGAAAATAAAGAGGGAAAAATACAAAAGAAGTTTCAGAAAAAAATAATAAAATGGAATAACTAAATATTGACCAGGCAAAAGAAATACAAGATTCAAAAATGAGAGAGAACTGATACCTATGGATGGATTTGAGAAGGAAAAATATTGAGCCAAATTTTGAGTGACTTTAGGACTCTAGGGTCCAGGGACTCCAGGACACTGATGTGACAGGAACATGGGCATTGGCTCCTAGCTGTACTTCCAGAGTATCAGCAATTCTCTTTTTGAAAACTGGGCTGGCACACATACTGGCATTTATCTTTTCTTAAAGCTTAATCTTTTCTTAAAGCTTCTCAAAAGTAACATCAATCCAGACACTTTATAACTGAGGAATTTGCAAGATCCAAGCTGCTAATTCATATACTGTCCTAAGGCCAGCTGCCTACCAGCAAGAGCCAACCAGAGCCAAGAAACCCACACGGTCTGTCACAATTTTTAGTGAAACCTGCCTTTGCTAGTCAAAGGTCAAAGGCAATACTGGCGTGGTGGTGCATGCCTGTAATCCCAGCAGCTAAGGAGACTGAGGCAAGAAGAATCATGAGTTCAAAGCCAGCCTCAGCAACTTAGCAAGGCCCTAGCAATTCAGCAAGACCCGGGTCTCTAAATAAAATATAAAAAAGGGCTGGAAATGTTGCTCAGTAGTTAAGCGCCCCTGGGTTCAATCCCTGGTGAAAAAAAAAAAAGCCAAAGGCACAAGGATGTTAGCATACGTCTAAAAATGGACTATATTCAAAAGAATTCATATCAACTTTCTTCACTTTTTGCAACCTACATCTACAGGGCAGACATTCTCCTAGGTTCTAGGTGAAAGGTAGGACCGTGTTGGCAATTACTTACTCATCCTTCCCACTATACCCAGCAATGCGTGGCATGTAACAGACACTCAGTTCAGTTTGCTACCTACCCTCAAAGCTTTTGGTGTGGGGATAAGTGCAATGACTGATTCAGCTTCTGTCTGCAGTTAGAAGATCCAGTCCTCAAGGGCATAAAATCTATTGGAAAGATTTGCTCTGCAACAGAAAAGGCCATTTATAGCAATGATAACAGGTCACACTGTGAATCCTTTCTCTCAGCCAGGCACTGTTCTGTGTGCTTCCTGTTTTTACTCATCTGATTCTCAATGACCTTTTATCAGTAGGTTCTTTTATGCGCTAACAACACTATTTTTACAGATGGGGCACAGAAAGGGTAAGGAACTTGCTCAAGGTAAGACAACTAATGAGTTTAGGAGGCAGGACTCAAACTCAGACCAAGCCTTGGACCACCATGGGGCACAGGTTCCTCTCCTGACTGATGAACTATTCAAGCCTTTATGGCCTTTTCACTTAATCAGCCTCAAGATTTTAACTCTGGAGTCGCTTTTAAGAGTCAGCTAGAGACACATCCTTTATGGGTTAAAACATTTCTTACCCGGAAGGGAACAAACTTGTAGTTAACCACATTGGCCAGCTAAGTGGATCAGTTCTAAGTGGCTATGGAGGACCCCTTGAAGGGTTATGGAAAATAATATTCCTACAAGGCATCTCTCCCAGGAAAAGTGCAGGGATAGTGTGGCTTGGGAAGAGGAAGAGAAATTAGCCAAACATTAAACCTCTTCCAGTACATCCCTTCCTAGTAACAGTGGGCCCTGAGGGAAAAAGCAAACTTTCATCCTTTCCCGGATTCATTCCCAGCATCTCCACCAAAAGCAAACATTCACCTGCTTCCCAACCACAATGGGTCCTGAAGGAAGGAGGCAGATACTTAAACTCTGAACCCTGGACTGAGAGGAATGTGACCACGACCCTCGGAGCGACCAAGAGATCTTTTTTACAGCAGTGAGAAAGAGGAGAAAAGAGATAGAGAGAGCCCGGCAGGAGAAAGGTTTTATAGTCCTTCTGCTGTGCTGCCTAAATCTAATAGGGTCTCTGGGTTTTTTGTGATCTGCCTTGTTGGCATAAGGGGGGTTAAGTGTTCAGCCTTGAGGGGTTGGGGTGGGGGGTGAGTGTTCAGCCTTGAGCAGGGGGGAAGCGTTCAGTCTGGGGGGTGGTGAGCTTCAGACTTGAGGCAAACAGGTGATAAAGAACCAGACAGAGGGGGGTTGAGTGCCCAGGTTATCCTGCAGCTAACATTCGTTCAACCTGCCCTGCACCTAACATTCCTCCCTTTTTGTTTCTAAGTGATGTGGGGGTGGCAAAAATTTGTCTGGCTACTTCCTGCTGAGAGGAGGGGGCAGCGTGGGACCTGCCTGGGAGAGTGGAAGAATGTTCAGGGACAGGCCTGGGAGTACCAGGGCAGCTAGAAATAGCACCCAGTGGCTGTAGACAGTTATCTGGTCAGGGGCAAAGTCCACAAAAGTCCCTTGAAGCCATAGGTCGTCAATGGCATCAAACCATTCCTGAGCAGAGGAGATCCTTGGTATCAGCCACTGATCCCGTCATAGGGACTCTAGGAAGTATTGAAAGCGTTGTCTCCACATGGCGTCACCAGCACCTGAAGAGGATCAGAGTAAGCAAAAACAGGATGAGGATTAAAGCAAAGGTCAGTTTTGGGCAGGAGTTCCAAGTTGGGGGACTAACAGGGAAGAGGCCAAGGGCCATGAGGAGGCTCAAAAAGGCATAAAGGCTCAAAAATCCAGGATGACAGGCTAAGAAGTTCTCTGGGTGCATTGTCTCTCGTTGTCCACTGGCTGTTGTTTTTGCGTTGTCAACATTGGGTGAGGGCTTCTCGAGATGAGTTGGAATCATCTAGGTTGTGAAGCAGTTGGCAGTCCCTGAGGACAAGCTGGTTAAAGGTACGGTTAGAAATTTGATCATCTGGTTTTGGAGGAATTTATTATGCATGGGAGGGAGGTGCAGAAGAGCAGTATGCCTATAAGTGGGCCCAGGAGGAGCAGGAGCCAGGTGAATAAGGGATTTTGAAAGAATCCCAGAAAAGAAGTTTGGGAAGTAGTTTTAGTCAGTTGGGTTGCAAGGTCAGTGAGTTTGTTAACACTCTGTCTACTAGGCCTGATTCATTGACTTAATAGCAGCATTCTCCCTTAGAAAAAGGCAAGTACCTCCCTTTTTTTGGCAGTCAGTCTAGAGCTCATTGGTTTGGGAGAACCACCTGAGCCAGTGAGGTGACCTGCCTCTGGAGGGAGGAGAGTGACTTCGCCGTAGCATCGAGAGCCGCTTGAAGCTTTTTGTGAAGGCCATCTTTAGTCCAGATAGAGTGCCCTATAGCTCCTCCTGAGACTCCAGCCACTGCTACAGTTGAAGCTACAGAGAGTCCTATCAAAATTGGCAGAAAGGCTGCACACTTGCTGCGTGGGGAATTAGGGTGAGGGAGTAAGAGCTCAAACTCTGCGGTGCAACATAAAGTAAGTTGAGAGGTTACTTGGACAACAAAACAGGGAGCAGTTATATTGTCAGAGATGTGGGTCATTAAGGTTTCATTACACCAAAGAAAGTCTCCAGGGTTTGTGTATTTGTTGGTGGAAGCAACCGTGTAATGTGAGCTTCTGTCGTGTTGGGTGTGTGACGGAGGGCTAATACAGAGCCATGGGGCAAGGAAGAGGAATTGGTGGTACTGGGTATGGGTTCCTGCAAAGGGATGTTTGAGGCAGGTTGCATTTTAATGCCAGTGGGGGAGAGATCATAAGAGGAGAAGTTGAGGGGGACTGCGGCCAGGAGGGGCCTTGCCAGGGAGGCACAAAGAAAACAGTCTTGGGGATTTAGTGTGGGGACTGTCATATTTAGAAATGTCAGTGTGTCTTGGATGATTTTGATCCAAGTATGGATCTGAGAACCAGGTTTGTAGGGGTCTGAGGAGGAGGGACCTTGGAGTTCCCCTAACTGCCTACTTAGGACCTTTTCAGAGTACTGTATATCTGAGGTTAAGATTGTTGACCTGGATGGGGCCTGTGCTATGATGCTTCTCCCTGTCCATAAATATCCAGAGGGTTTGGTCTGGTAGTTCACCCAAAAGGCGGCGCCTGTGACTCCTGAGGCCAATGATGGATGGGCTGGATCATAGATTTTTAGCGCAAAATGGTATTTTCACCATCTGCCCTGTGCTCAGGCCTCTTGCCAAGTCTCTTCAGGTATGAAACATACTGGTATCTAGTTTCCTGTCCTGGTGATGGATTTTATATGACCAGTAAGGACAGCCTTTATAATTGTCTGGCCACCATTTGCAATAATCTTGGGTCTGATCAAATAGAAAGCAGAGATAGGGTCCTATTGAAGCTGTTTTGTAGAATCAAGAATTTGCAAGAGAAATGGTAATGGGGCAGTTGAATTGATGGGCATATCATAAGTGGCAATTTGTTCAGTTTTTGATATTGATCATCCTTCCATTGATCAACTACTGTGAACCTCCATATATGGGATCCAAGGAAATATGGAAAAGGGAGGTGTAGCCTAAGAGGAGGTGAGGGAGATGGACCCGGATCTGGAAGTTATTCATAGCTTTTGGGGGACCTGGTGAAATGGAGTTTCAGTGGGTTGGTGGGAGAAGGGCTGCAGGCATATGCCGGTGAAGAAGAGGAGGTATCCACAGACTCAGGCTCAGGAGCTGATGCAGGTTTTAACCTGGAAATGTGAATCCAGGGAGTTAGCTTTGTTGGAGACTCCTGAAGCCTCACGGTGATGGGGGTACATAGGGTAACTTGTAGGGGGCTTTCCCATTTTGGTGACAAGGGAGAACCTTGGTGTTGTGGGGGAGAGAAGAATACTCAGGCTCCTGGCATCAGGGGAAAAGAAGCATGGGACCTCTGGGGGTCTGGAAGTAGGGTTTCTTGGTTTTTCCAGAGTTGGGAGCATATAAAGGAGAGAAGAGGGAAAGAGAGACTTTCCTGGTAGAGTCCACGGAGAACTATGTCACCAGGGCGAAGGGCAGGACGGCCATACGCGACCTCAAACGGGGAGAGAAGGGTTGGTTTCCTTGGTAATACTCCGAGTTGGAATAAATCGAGGGGAAGGAGTTTGGTCCAATCTAGGTGAATCTCAAGGGTAAGTTTAGTTAAAATTTCTTTTATTGTCCGGTTGGTACGCTCCACCTTTCCAGATGATTGTGGATGATAAGGAATGTGTAGGTGCCATGGGATGTTAAGAGCTTTAGCAATATGCTGTGTAATCTGAGAAATGAATTTGGGTCCCTTGAGAAATGAAAAGAGGTGGGTATTCCAAATCAGGGTATAATCTCAAAGACGAGGATAGAGACGACTGTATAGCCCGCTTGTTGGCAGTTGGGAAGGCTTCAACTCATCCTGAGAAAGTATCTACTAGAACTAGTAGGTATTTAAGTTTGCGGACTGGTGGCATGTTGGTAAAATCTAACTGCCAGTTGGCTGCTGGAATGTGGCCCCGTGCTTGATGTGTGAGGTCGGTTCCAGGTTTCAGTGGGGTTTGAGGATTTGTTCTTTTACAGATGGAGCAGTTAGAAGGGGATATCCTCGGGGCTGAGTGTGAGAAATGAGCTGTGAAAGCTTTTAGGCTCTGGGAGTCAGTGTGAAGGATGGAATGGAGGTATGAGAGCAGGGATCTGGTTGACATTGAGATTTGGGTTGCGGGATAACTGGTGCTAGGGTACAATATGGGGCAAAGCCTGCTAGTCGGGCTTCCTGATCAGCCTTTGAATTGCCTCTTGTGACAGGTGAAGTCATGTTGGTGTGAGCGACAGTGTGCGATTCCGATTTTAGTGGGAAGGAGTGAGGCTCTAAGGAGATCAGTGATGAGCATTGGTGACTGCGGAGCCCCTAGTTGTAAGGAGTCCTCTGTCTTTCCATATGGCAGAGTGGGAGAGGATTATGTGATAAACATATTTAGAGTCTGTGTATAAATTTAGGGAATGTTCAGCCGCTACTTAGAATGCCCTAGTGATGGCTATTAATTCAGCTTGCTGGTTGGTGGTGTGTAGAGGCAGGGATTGCCTCCATTGTAGAAAATTTTGTGCCGAGTGGGTCAGTCAGGGAGATAACAGCGTAGCCTGCATAATGATGACCCTCTAGTGTAAAGGCGCTGCCATCAGTAAACCAGGTGTAACTGGCATCAGGCAAAAAGGCCCTTCATGGATATGAGTGGGGCAAGGCATAAGGTTTTGTTTTTGTTTTTTTTTAGAGAGAGAGAGAGGTAGATAGAGGTAGAGAGAATTTTAATATTTATTTTTTTTTTAGTTATCAACGGGCACAACATCTTTGTTTGTATGTGGTGCTGAGGATCGAACCTGGGCCGCACGCATGCCAGGTGAGCGCGCTACCATTTGAGCCACATCCCAAGCCCAAGGCATAAGGTTTTCTAATATTTCGAGGCAGTGGTGGGAGGCAGGTGCTTCAGTCTTGGGAAAAAGAGTGGCTGGGCTTAAGGCTGAGCAGGCCTTAAGGAAATGGAGGGATCATGGAGGAATGAGACCAAAAGGGAAAGGAAGTGGTAAGGGGGAAAGGTCTGTCAGCCTTTGTAAGTGAGAAGATCCTCCAGAGTGTGAGGGGAAATGATAATAGTTCGTGCTCTGAAAGTCAGTTTTTTTGACTCCTGTAGTAAAATGTGTGCTGCAGCTAGAGCACGTAAGCATGGAGCCCACCTCCTAACAGTTGAATCCAGTTGTTTGGAAAGGTAAGCAACAGGAGCACAGGTGGGCCCTTTCTTCTGACCCAACACTCCAAGGGATAAGCCTATTTTTTCATGAACATAAAGAAGAAAGGTTTGTTGGATGTCTGGGAGATGTAGGGTTGGTGCTTGGAGGAGGGCTTGTTGTATGGAAAGAAAATGAGATTTAGGTGACGAGGGGAGGGGCTCCTATTTGTCCCCCTTGGCCATTTCGTATAGTGGTTTGGCCAGGAGTGAGAAGTTGGGAATCCAAGTCTTAAAATATCCTGCCAGACCCAGGAAGGATAGGATTGCCTCCTTGGTTTGGGGGGTGGGGTAGTCATGAATTAGAGTCTTTCAATCTAGAGTGATTGTCTTGGAATTTGGGGAGAGTTGGACTCCAAGGTAGGTGACTTGGGTTGTGATAATTGTACCTTTTGGGGAGACACTTGGTAACCCTTGTCAGCCAGAAAGTTAAGAAGTGTGTTGGTATCAGTCTTGGAAATATTGAGGGAGGGACTGCAGAGGAGTAAGTCATCTACATATTGGAAGACAGTTGACAGAGGGAGGTTGAGGCCCTTTAGATCGGCAGACAATGTCTGACCAAAAATATGTGGGCTGTCTCTAAAGCCCCTGTTAATTGTTGGTATTATTGAGTATCTGGATCTGTCCAGGTAAAGGCAAAGACGTCTTGGGAAAGTGGGGCCAAAGGAATGGTGAAAAGGGCATCCTTTAAGTCTATAATAGAAAAATAGGAAGTTGAGGCCAGGATAAGGGACAGGAGAATCTATGGGTTTGGGACTACTGGGTGGATAGGTTTGACTGCCTCGTGGAAGAAGTAAGTCCCATTGGGTTTGTTGACTGCAAGAATGGGAGTATTATATGGTGAATGTGTGGGCGTAAGAAAACCCTTTTTGAGAAGGCTGGAAATGATGGGTTGTAGTCCCTTTTGACTGGACATCAGGAGGGAATATTGAGGCTTGTTTGGAATGTGATGGATGTTTTTTAATTGCGCCAAGGATGGAGTCTTGGTGTCCCAGGCTAATGGGTTCACTTGATCTTGTGGAAGTGGAAGAGAATGATCTGGTGTAGCCTGTAGGGCAGCCATGGCTATAACTGAGAGGAGGGAGGATGGTGAGAACAGTGGAAAGGAAATCATGGCCTTAAACTTAGATAGAATATCTCTGTCCAAAAGGGGAATGGGACATTGGGGCGTCACCAGGAAGGAGTGTGAGAACGGGTGGCCTGAGAGTAAGCAGGGTGGGGTGGGGTGGTTCTGGGCTATATTGTTTGTCCACCTACCCCAACAATAGGGGACTGAGAGGAAAGTAAGGATCCCAAAACTCCTGTAAGACGGAGAATGTTGCTCCAGTGTCTATTTAAAAAAAGGATTTTGCAACCATCAACTGTCATTTAGACTCTGGGTTCCAGCATGGTGATTGGACTTGTTGGGACAGGAGTCTTGAGGCCCCATCAGCCCATCAATCATCGATGGCCAGTCCCACGAGATTATGGGGGCTAGGGCCTTCGGGTATTGGGACAGTCTGAAGCCCAGTGGCCCATTTTGGGCAGGGTCTGGTAGGTAGCCTTGGATTGGGCAGGCCCTGCTCCAATGTCCTTCTTGTCCATACTTAACGCAGGCCCCAGGGGATTCTGACCTTGGGGGATAGTCTCGCAACATAGGAGATGAGTTTTGGGAAGGCCCACAGAGGGCCTGAGCCAGCAATTGGCACTTTAGGTGTTTAGTCTTTTTATCTTGGTTATGATAGACCTTAAAAGCAGTAGCAAGAATCTCAGTCTGGGGAGTGAGGGGGCCACATTCTAATTTTTTAAGTTTTATCCGAATATCAGGAAAACTTTGGGCAAAGAAATAAGTCATCAATAACCATCGGCAGTCAGGGGTTTCTGGATCCAAATTAGTGTACTACAAGAGAGCCTTAGTTAGGGAGTCCAGAAAGGCTGGTGGGTTCTCATGTTTATCTTGGATAATTTCCTGAAGTTTCTCAAAATTGACTGCTTTCTGGACTGCCCTTTTTAGGCCTGCTGGAATACGAGTGGTGAAATGATCTTGGTTTGTGATGCCATTACTGGTGTTGTAGTCCCAGAGGGGATCTTGGTCTGGGACTGCTTAGGGCCCAGTGGGATGTGCCGGATTGGTCTGATGGATCTCGTCTGCAGGAGTGCAAGCCTGTTCTCTGCTCCTCAGGAAGTAAAGTATCGGAGAGGATCATATAGACATCATGGAAGGTGAGGCTGTAGGCCTGTATGAAGTATTAGAATTTTTTGGTATATAGGACCGGGTTGGTAGTAGATGAGCCTAGTCGTTTTTCAATTGGGAAAGGTCAGCCATAAAGAAGGGGACATGCACTCAGACAATACCTTCAGTACCTGCCATCTCACGCAAGAGGGCAACGATCTGAGGAAGGGTGGTGGTTTGGGTTTTTGATCTAGAAATTGGAGGGGAGAAAGCAGGTCGTTGAGGCTGGAGTGATGGTGGAGGGGCTGGGGCAGAAGGTTGAGAGTGAGGACTTATTTGAGCCGGGCAATAGGGTGGGGGTTCATCAGCAGGATCAAAAGCAGTGGATGAGTCCGGAGGAGAAAGTTGAGGATCAGTGGTTAGTGGGGTTGGTTTGTAAGCTAGAAGAATTTATAGAGGTTTGCAAGAGGTGCAGAGAGCAGGATTGGATCAGAGAAGGAGAAAGCTTGGACATAAGAGATCTCTACCCATTTTTTCAAATGCTCACAGTAATTGTAAAGACTCAACTGGGGGCCATTTGCTTTGGTTTTCTAGGGGATAAGTGGGCCAAGCCTGGGTGCTATATTTAATATAGATCAGTTTTTAGGGTTTACTAGCTGGTGTCAAGGAGAGGGTTTTGAGGTTGTCTAAAAGGCATTGTAAGGGAGAGTCGACCACAGAGAGGACGCATTACCCATGTCGCAAACATCGCAAACATAGTATAAGGGGGGGGATTGGCAGGGGGTGGGGGGGAGGACCTGCAAACGTAACATAAGGGGAGAGGGAAGGAACTGATTTATTTGCAAAAGGGGTGTCCCCACTAGAACCAAAAATCAGGTAGTGCCTAGTGGCAGGTTTGAGCTGCAGAGATTGGTCGTCACCGAATCCTAACAGTTGAAGCTCCCGTCCTGGATGGGGCCAGAGCTGTGGGAGACTTGGCCAAGGCTTTTCAGGACCCCCCCCCCAGAGGGGCCGGAGACTCCCAGGGCCAGAGAGAGGAGAGTGGGAGGGGAGGGTAAGTGTATCTCTAGCGGCCAAGTCTTAAAGGTGAGAGGACTTTATGAGGGCCACGGGGACCATGAAGGTCTGGGTGGGGTGTGATCTTCAGTTCTCTGTTATGTGCTCCCAGAGGTTACACATCCTTTGAGGATGACCTATAAAATTATGCCAGGGAAGGGGAAGGGAAATAATTTTGAACCCGAGGGTCGAATCTGTGGGAGGATCGAGTCCCTGAGGACCACTGTGGCCTTGAAGGCTGTGGTGACGTGTTTTTCTCCCCGCAGGTGGGCAAAGAGGTTTGCCAAACCATCTACGTTCAAATCCTCCCGACACCACCATTGGGTTTAGGACTCCAGGAAGGGGAAACTCACCAATCGAAGGCTGGTGGTACTTGTAGTTCTGGCGGTCGAGAAAATGGGTTCAGGTCATCCAGTGAGGGGCTTCCAAAGGAAGAGGGACCCAAAAGTGGGTTTTAATCCTCTTCCTGGGTTTTGGCACCAGATGAAAGGAAAGTGACCACGACACTCAGAGCGACCAAGTAATCTTTATTACAGCAGTGAGAAAGAGGAGAAAGGAGAGAGAGAGAGAGAGAGAGAGAGAGAGAAAGCCCGGCAGGAGAAGGGTTTTATAGTCCTTCTGCTGTGCTGCCTAAATCTAATAGGGTCTCTAGGTTTGCAAGCTGCCTTGTTGGCATAAGGGGGGTTAAGTGTTCAGCCTTGGGTGGGGGAATTGAGTGTTCAGCCTTAAGCAGGGGGCACTGAGTGTTCAGCCATGAGCAGGGATTGAGTGTTCATCCTTGTGGGGGGTGGTGATGAGCACTTGAGGCAAACAGGTGATAAAGAACCAGACAGAGGGGGTTGAGTGCGTGGGTTATCCTGCAGCTATCATTCGTTCAGCCTGGCCTGCAAACAATGTTCAGCCTGCCCTAACATGGACTTTGGCCTAACATGGACTTTTGCCCTTTCCCATTTCCTGGAAGAGAAAAGCAAATAGTGAAGCTCTAGGTAACAAAGGGTCCCAGAGGAAGGAAGATAAGCAGTGAACACCGAGTTCTGAGCTTTTCCCAGTGACAATGAGTTTCAAACTTCTTACAACTGCCTTCCTGAGTTTAACCTGCACAACTAGGTCCCTGACTGTTTGAACAGCACGTCTGCAGTCTCTAATGATTAATTCACCCTCACTGTAAACTATAAAACTCAGACTCCTTCTGTAACCCGGGGGCCATTTCCTTAACCAGAAAATAAGCCCTCCTGTGCCTGACTGATTCACTCTGCTGCAGGATAAAGGAGAGCTTACTGATCCACTTGAGGGCTGCTTAACGTCCTGGTTATTTGTATTTTCATTATTTTTGCTTACACCATTAAGAATTTTGTGCAGCAGATTAAAACCATTGCTAAGGTAGTGACGCCAAGCAAAGAGAGGGAGGGAGACCCTAATTCACTGGCACCCACAGCTAGAGAAGCCTGATGCTTCAGAGGGAGTGAGGCTCTTCCCCAAGCATGAGTATCTGCCCAGGCCCCAGAGGCACTGCAGCAGGGAGGCTGTGAGGAGCTGACCAAGAAACAGCTGAGGAACACCCACGGAAACAGACCAGAAAACTGCTTCACAGAGCATTCAGATAACAGAGTTCCCCTGTGCCAGCCAGAAGTTGGAAGGAGTTGAATCATCCATCCTGGTCTCCTGACAGATCTCTCTAGAAGGAATGGTATTGAAATAGAGCTCTGATTTTGAGCAGTCAGTGCAAGAAATACGGGACTTATATAAACTTGTTAAACCCTAAAGTGAATTCCCTCTTTACTCCAAAGCACCAGGCTCCTTCCTCTGTTGTTGGGTGTGATCCACTGGATTCTGAACAGTTGTGTTTGCATTTGTCTCTTCTGAGAGACCGAGAGATGCTAGAAAACTCAGTTTTCTTCATCCCCAACACATAGTTCAGCCCCAGGCAAGAAACAGGATCTCAATAAATGACTATTTGTAGGAATAAAAGAACTGATGAAAATAGGTCAACAACGTGTGTGTGTGTGTGTGTGTGTGTTTATTTTTAATGGTCATATCAGAAACTCAAATATAGTTAAAATCATAATCCAACCAGAATGATTTATTTCGGGTTCCCAAGCCTAGAATCCACACTCCTTGCTCTGTTGAGGTAGGGGGATGTAACTAGATTAAGAACTGAAATTTCAACATCCAAGAGAATAACCAAAGTCTTCTCAAGAAACCAAGGATGAAATGCCAGCACCAAGGTCACACTACTCAGGAGAATGTCATCAGCTGGCAGTAGGCTCCACAGGTGTAGATTGGGCTATGCTTTCTTTAAATTTAGATTCTCGCCCCATGCTAAAACTAAATATTCAAGGACATGAATTGAATGGGTTACTGGATACAGGTGCAGACCTTAGTATCATCTCTCATCAAGAATGGCCAAAACATTGGCCATTACAACAAGCCACTCAAACGCTTCGAGGCCTAGGAGTGGCGACTAATCCCCATAGAAGTGCAATGGTATTAGATTGGAAGGATCCTGAAGGATGTGAAGGAACTATACAAAGTCTAATCTGGGACAGAAAAGATCCGTTCTTTATTGGACATATCAGGGCACATACAGGATTGCCTGGAGCCCTTAGTTTGGGCAATGATTTAGCAGATAAAACTACACATGACATACATATTTTCTCTACACTAGAAGAAGCTACAAATTTTCATAAAAAGTTCCATGTCAATGCTAATACTTTACAAAAGCGTTTTAAAATAACTAAGGAACAAGCTAGACAAATAATAAAACAATGTCAAAATTGTGTGACCTTTTTACCACAAGTTAATCTTGGAGTCAATCTAGAGGATTGATACCTAACTATATTTGGCAGATGGACGTCACACACTTGCCAGAATTTGGAAAATTAAAATATTTGCATGTTACAGTTGATACTTCTTCCGGATTTTTGATGGGCTCCCTTCATGCCAGAGAAAAAACTAAAGATGTTATAGCTCATTGCTTACAAAATTTTGCCACTGTGGGTGTTCCAAAACAGTTAAAAACAGATAATGCCCCTGGTTATACTTCTACCTCTTTTAAACAATTTTGCTCAACATTTGGCATTACTCATATAACAGGAATCCCATACAATCCACAGGGACAAGGCATAGTTGAAAGAGCTCATCAAACTATTAAAATGTACTTATTAAAGCAAAAAGAAGGAATTGGGAAGGGGTATATATTCCCCAAAGATAAACTTAAAATAACCCTTTTTACTCTAAACTTTTTAAATTTTGATTCATCAGGACTTAGTGCTGTGGAAAGGCATATGTGTCCAAAAAATGTACATAAGCCCAAGGTACTTTGGAAGGATATTCTAACAGGACAATGGAAAGGTCCTGACCCAGTAATTGTCTGGAGTCGGGGGTCTGTTTGTGTGTTTCCACAGGGAGAACAGCAGCCAATTTGGATTCCAGAAAGATTAACTAAAGCGATTTCTACAGACCAAAAAGAAGATGATTTGGCTCAAATCCATAACACCTGATATCCAGAACTCCAGTTTGGCTACCCTTACATCTGCGACAGAACCAGGATGCTTTTTTCAATATCTATTTTATTATTGCCCTTTCCTACATCATGAAGTTCTATTTTGTTTTTTGAGCTCATACAGACCTAGGTTAATGTTTTGCTGATCAGTTCTATTTTTTGACTATAGAGTTTTTAAACATTGCAATGGAGATTTCACCTGTAAAAAGTTATAAGGCCTTTACTATTATGTTATGTGTTGTGTGCACACTTGTGTTTTATGTTGTATGTTTGTATGTACGTATGTCCATATATCATATATGATGAGCGCTCATGAAAAAATGGATCCAAATTTTTTTTTATTCACGTGATTTAAATGGTTTAATTTAAATTGGGTAAACAACTGTTGAGGATTGTTTTAATATGTGAACAAAAAAGGTTAACAGATCTGTTCGTTTACCTTCACCTTTCCTTTTCATTATATTTAATAATTCTCTTCAAGATAATGTAAATTGTTAAGAAAATTGTTTTCTTTTAGTGCCTTCTAGAATGTTACATAATTTTTTTCTTTAGCCATTATTGCCAGAATTCCTATCTTCATCCCAGTGCCGGTGAAGACAATGTAAATTGTTAAGAAAATTGTTTTCTTTTAGTGCCTTCTGGAATGTTACATAATTTTTTCTTTAGCCATTATTGCCAGAATTCCTATCTTCATCCCAGTGCCGGTGAAGACAAAGATAAAACCAATCTACAGCTTCTGCAATAGCCATCACTGAACTGCTTGCAGAACTTGCCTGGACTATGTATCACTTGTATGCATTGTGAACTCACCTGTATGCATTGTGAACTATCTGTTGGTGCAGCGACTTGGGGTATTTTTGCTGATGATGTCATCGGTGGTACAATTTTTCCAAAAGGAGCCATCAATTGGCTTGGTGTATCTTCCTCCCTTCTGCTTGTCATGATCGTTCAGCTAAAATTTGGGGGCCAACAGAGGTGAGGCAAAGAACCTCACCCCGCCACTGGTACAAAGACCTATCCACAGGTGTGGCTGTATACTGGACCGGTAGTCAGTGACTGGTAAGATCTAATTGCAATGGTACCAACCTAAGACAGGAGGCTGACGCCTTGAGGTCAGCTTATCTGATAACGGGTAAGAACCATATGTACTATTGGACAACCTAAGGCAGGCACGGTCCCTAAGCCACATGCTTGTTGTTTAAACAGAGAGGGGGAGATGTTGAGAGCCACAGCCGAAGGGGCCCCAGCAAACTTTCAGACTGCCAGCTGATGATTGGCTCACAGCGGCCCCAGCAACTTCTAGCTAATTGGCTCCTCTGCGGTGATGCTCATTGAGCTGTTTTCCCGCCCTTTCAGACTACCGAGCTGCTCATGGGGGGACTTTTTTGGCTCCGCCCACGTGACCCAGCCAATCAGCCTCAAGAGCAGGAGGAGTGGGGGAGGTTGAGAGGCTTGTGGGAAGCGGTGGTGGCAGTTGGGCTCTGAAGGTTTTTCCTGAGGAGCTGTTTTGTTTGGCGTGTGTGGTTCTAAAAATAAAGTTTGTTTCTTTTGACAAGCGGCTCCTGAATTGTGCCCAGCCAGACTGTGGCAGAATGTCTTCCATGTGCTGGGGCACAAAAGAAATGTTCCCACCCCTGGACACAGCTCTGTTCTCAAACCACTAAGTCAAGTGATTACCCAAGCAGCAGGTGGTCAGCCAGACTGCCCTCAAGCACTGTGACTCCTGTGTCCAGTGGGACACTTTCCAAATGGAGCTATTCACACCCAGGAAACTTGCTCTTGGCTGGCAATTCAAGATGCCAATGTTTATTGAATTTCCTCACCCGAAGCCCTGCCCTTCATAAATATGCCCTTGTGCTGCTTCCCAGGTACTTCACAACCTCACTGTGTGCCAATTCCAGCTTGTTCCCACTCTGCTCTTGTACAGACACCTCTCAACCCTGTCCCTTGGTGTCCTTTTACATGTGGCATGCCACACCATCTTCATTTCCCACATGTATAACCACAAGGTTCTTACAGAAAATTTCCCCAACTGCCAAGGCTAGAGGCTGGGTAGGGTGACAGTTTCAGAACATTCTCATGGGGTCTGACACCAGAGATCTGCACCTGGAGGAAAAAAAAGTCCTGAAACCTGTCTTAGCCAAGCAGAAACAAATGACATCTTTTCCAGGCCAATACAAGATTGTTGTAGGCCTCAACCTACCTCTTCACCAACTGGGATTAAATTTGGTTGAGTATAAAATCCAAGTTTCACAATGACTTAAGCACACAGGGTTTTATGTTCACAAGTTAGAGCTAGTGGGGTAGGCAGACAGAACTGATAATGGCCATTCATGAAGCTCTGCTTTTGCCACTTATCCTTTCTAAGTGGTAGGTGACCCTAATCCTGAAGTATAAAGTGACTGCCAGAGTTCCAGCCATCATACCCATGTTTCAGGCAGTTGACGACTTTCCCAAAATTTCACACAGTATTTTCATGTACATCTCATTGAATAGAACTGAGTCACATGACCACACCCAGATATAACAATGATAGGGAAATATAGTACTTATTCTGGGAATCTACATCTGCAAGACAACTGACTGATCTCTTCAGAAGTTATTGTTCTAGATTAAAAGAAACTAGAGACATGGATGAATCTTGATTGACTATGGAAGATAATTTGGGGAAACAGGAGAAATTTAAAGATATTAGATGATATTAAAGAATCACAGCTAATTTTAGGTTGATTATGTAATTATAGTTGTATAGGAACATGTACTTGTATTTAATACAGGCTATGAACTACTTAGGAGTGAGTCAAAATACAGTATATAAATAGTTTAAAAGATTGACAGAACAGACATGGAAAAGATAGTAAGAATTAGGAGTCTAGGTAGGACAATGGATATACTATCCTTTCTAATTTTCTGTATGTCTAAGATTTTTTTATAATCAAAGGAGGAGACTGGGGTTGTAGATCAATGGTAGAGTGCTTGCCTAGCATGTGGGAGGCACTGGGTTTGATTCTCAGCACCAAGTATAAATAAATTAAATAAAGGTTCATCAACAACTACAAAAAAAAATCAAGATGTCATGGGGAGCCACCTCAGAAAACAAATTCAAACAAAAGAGAGCTTTATTTACCTGGCCAGGGACTGTCACCCATCCATAGAGACTGATGCTCTGTGGGAGAACAGCAGCTTCCTGGCCTGTGTCTTGGGAATATAAGGACGAACACCACAACTCAGTGGCTTGTTTAGCATCATGTAAGCAAGCCAATCACAGAAGTTAAAACAGTAATCAAGGCTGGGGCTGGGGCTGGGGCTCAGTGGTAGAGCGTGTGCCTAGCATATGCGAGGCGCTGGGTTCGATCTTCAGCACCACGTAAAAAATAAATTAATTAAATAAAGATGTTGTGTCCAACTACAACTAAAAAAAATCTAAAAAAAAAAAAAAAAACAGTAATCAGTGGGACCAAAGGAGGACTGGAATTTTCCAGTTAGTAAG